TTATTGGCCAACAATCAGTGGCTTATGGAAAGGGGAATAGAGGAGGAGGAAGGTGCTTTGGTCTCGGGCGGGGCAGTATCATTTTCGCATTTTGATGTCCGATTACAAGCGGCAACGCTAACTAGAGCAGCAACAATAGAAAAAAGTACAATGGCAGCAGAAGCAACAACTATTATGACAGCGACTGGCTGAAGCAAAAGCGATTTGTTGCACTCACTCAGATACACACACAAGCACACGCATACAGACACAAATACACGAATGCAGAGTGGCACAACTGGCAGATAGAATTGTATCTGTGAGAGACAACTCAATGCGCTGACTCTTTGCTATGAAAAATGGATCTGCTCCAGAAGATTTCAGTAATCTCGTTCGTCACACTTGGCCGCTCAAGTACAAATTTATGAAGACTCCGCCGTGGAGCATTCAGCCCTCCCTTTTTGACCATGTCCGAGTGGGCTTTATTAACTTGTTCTACGGATCTCCCCCTCGGCCCAAGATGCACTCAAGAATGTCACGGTAGAGTGGCCAAAGTGTCAGTGGATAAGGCATTCCGATTGCCGGTTATGATGTAAGTTCAATAATTTTTCCATTGCAACAATGTTAGACAATGGCAGCCGGCAATCAGCGTTGCCTCAGCTAATTTGCATGGCAATCTTTTGCGAAATCCCAGCTAAATGACTCCGGTATCCACTCCTGTGTGAAGAAATGGGCGTGTTGTTGAAAGCGCAAAACAATTAATGTGACTACGATGGGCTTAATGAACTTAAGTAAAAAAAAAACAAAACAAGAAAAAAAATGTAAGCAAGCGGGAAAAGGGAAAACATGCGATTGTCTTCGTCTCCGCGGATCGTTATCCCTTTCACATTCGATTTAGCATTTAACGATGCACGAAATCAGCCTCTCCGGTGGCCATTTCCACAGCGATTTCCACTTCCACGCCGACAATTTCCACACATTTTCAATTAATTAAACCAAAAATATTCCTGTTGCTTCTCTTGTTCGTTCGGCCGGAGCCTTTTACAATTGACGTAAAATATAATTAAAATTGTTCATGTCAATACGCAAAGCGAAATCAGAGTCGAGGGGCTTGCAAGGGGCACAAAAAGTCAACGCGATGCGACGCATTCAATCAATGCGTTGCAGACAAAATGCAAAATGCACTTTTATTGTATTTTAAAACAAATTGAAAGCCAACAGCTCGCAGTAGAAAAAAGGTAATAGTGGCAGGAGCGGAAAACAAAATACCACGTAGTGGTATGCTCTGTAAATAAATCTGGTTTTGAGCAGGGAATTAGTAGGAACTTATTAAGCTTCTTTCTGGCTAACCTTTTTTAATTACTTCCATCTAAGTTGGAAGTACTAATTGCTGACTACTCTTCACCTTCTACTAATTGCCAGCTCAATTAATTCGGATTTGTTCAAAATGAAGACATATCACTAAAGATTACGTATAACTTTTTTTTAAACGTATTGTCGAAACCCAAACATGTTTTAACTGACCTCGATCCTCCTCCACTCATAAATTTTCATGTCGCCATGTCATATGATAATCAGAATTTATGGTTTAATTGCCAGATAATAGAGCAAAGAATAATTCCCATGTTCCCATGCCATTTATGGCAAACAAAGCCCATCAAATGTCAGTTGAAAACAGTTTTGGGTTAGGGTATTTCTGCATACATTGCTGTGTAATAATAAATATTTTGTTTGGCTTTTGTTTATGCAGAGCTTTGCTTTTTGTGGATGGTTTACGCCGTTTTTTGTTGCTTTTAATCTTGCATTACTCCCGTTGCAGCTTTGATTTTCGCTGTTGTTGGCATGTAAATGGGCCAAAAAGGGCGGGGTTTTGTCGCTGCATTTTTACGCCTGCCTAGCTGGCAGTTTTGGGCTGGCAGTTTTTACTTTCACCACCGAATGCAAAATTGTCAAACGCAAATGGCGTATAAATTTCAGTTTCGATTGGCCCCCCAGCGGAGTGATCGATGTCGAGCAGTCGGAAAGTGTCAACCGAAAAGGTGGCCGATGCACCTGCATTGCGACCCCAAACAAAGCCCAAACATCTTTTCACCAGCCTCCACAAAACGCAGCGTCAACATCATTATGGTGCTGCTGCTGCTGCCTGCCTGCCTGCCTGCCTGATTTCTTTTGACGAAAGCGCAAAAATTTTCCTAATGATGCCGCGCAAATTCAACTGCAACTAACTGTTTGCAGTGCCCCACCGATTTTCCACCGCTGACTGCAGTAATCTGGTCATGGCCAACGTGGATGATTGTTGACTTTTATGATTTCCATTTCTTAGCAGTATTATGGACGTGTGGCAAATCAACAGCGGCAAATAGAAAACACAGCAGCAGCAGCAACAGCAGCAGCAGCAGCTCCAATGCAACGAAAAATCAATAGAAATCCCCCGGATGGAGCAACTCTCCCCCGTTCATCTGCTGTGCGTATGCCATAAATCGTAACAATAACTGCTTGCCACTTGGCCAGCAGACGTCGAGCAGACACCGACGTCCAGTTTGGATTCATATTCGCACTCGGACTCGGATTTGGATTCGCATTCGCATTCGGACTTCAACTCGGACTCAAAGCTGGACATGGAGCGGCGGACGCAGAAGGCGGCATACGATTTCACTTGACTGACAAGCAGACATGAGCCAAGTGTTTGGCTTCACTCGCTCGATGCTGGCCATATCCCTCAAGTGACTTTCTAAGCGATTCCGAATGCCTGCAACATGAAAAATGTGGAGCGAAGGCAGTGCAGCAGGCGTAGAAGCAGTAGCAAAAACAGCTCAATGCCATTATCATTGGGCATTATATCCCCAATTACTCGAAATGTACTCTGTCTGTGCACTGTATTGCTTTATAAAAAACACCTGGATCTTGGGTTGTCCATGGCTTAGAGGTACCACCATTGGTATGCGAACTTCTTGTGCGATTATTGGGATAACTCGACACACCTTCATATCATAACAAAAATTCCCCCATGAATTATGGGCTATAAACTTATAAAATACAGGTTGTATGTTTACAGTACTTGGGAAATTAGCTGGATCTCAAGCTCTTTTATAGTTCGGGTAAAAAACTTTGGTATGCGATATTCTTTGATGTATTCTCCATTTATTTTTACAACTTCTTCCTTATTGTATAATTAATGAAATGGTTATAGCAAGATCTTAGAAAGTAACGCCATATTCATTAACGGGTATCTTGTGTTCGAAATCATGGCACACAGGAAAAGTTTGATAAGGCCCATTCATCCACCTCCTCCTCCGCATGGGAAAATCCGTGTGTCCTTCAACTCGTGTCCAGTGTTGTGTAGTGTGCTCACAAATATTGTCCCACACAACTCATAAAAAGCCCATTTATAACTGTTAACTTGTACAAAAGTATTTACAGACGATTTAGCAGCTCACAGAATTACAACCATCGCCACACAATTGCAATTGTTTATTTGTGTTGACTGCTCTCACACCGCCCCCCCTTTTCCACCGCCGCCCCCACTTTCATCCCCACCCCCTCCTCAATGAAATTTCCCCCCCTTCACTGGCCTGCTTCTTCTGCTTTGGCAACTACTCCATCTCCCTTTTGGTAGCAATAAAAAGTGTTGTTATTTGTACAATGTTGTTTGTGTGTGCCGGAGTGTGTTTTTTGTTTTGCTTGCTATTATTGTTGCTATTATTACAGTTGTTGTTACACTGCTCGTTGTTTAGTGACCAAGACAGCTGCTGCTGACACGCAGAATTCAATGCAACAAGAAGAAGCCCAAGTGCAAAACAAAAGCAAAACACAAAAACAAATAAACCATCAGTGGCAGCAGAAATCATCGGGAGAACTTAAAACGGGTGAAATCCAAAGTTTACCATTGTCCCTTGGCTGAATGAACATAGAGATAATGCGGCGATAAGATGGAACTGTGTGTGGTTAATGATAACATCTGCAGACTTTTCTTTACAAAAAGAATAGAAAAAGTAGTAATTGCTTTAAGCCCACAGAACGCGAATTCTTTTTATTATCGAAAGCACTCTTAAATAAAAATATTATTTGGCTTAAACGAAAACACGACTTGGTTTTGCTCGTTTTTAAATTTGAATAATTGCTTCATTAAGTAAAAAGTTCGTAAACAAACAATGTGTATTTTTAAGCGCAGTAAAAAATTCTTCGTTTTTTTTTTAGATGCCCCAGTTGCTGTATTTGCTTCCCATATTAATTTTAAACCGTTTGCTAACTGTGCAAAAACTCCAATATATTTTCACATATTAATATACTAAAGCGTTCGCTCATTAATTGCGTTTAAGCTAGTTTGATGAACAAATCTCAAGGCTTCTGTGCAACGTAAACAAGCTGAGCTTTTGGCTTCTTAATTAGCTGGGTACACAACATTTGAATGTGTGTTACGTTCTCTGTATAGTAATCCGCTTACGGACTTACCAAGACATCTTCCTATATATTCTCCGGAAATAATAGATATTATGAGGTAGTTCTTCAAATATCGTTATAATTTAAGCTATCACAAACATGAATCAATGGTGATTACATACGGTGAACAGCTTATAGCCTTATTATGAGCTGAATGCCTGCATTTAAATTCGTATTTAACTCCAGATTGAAAACAGCTTGTTATTTAAGTACATTACACGAATATAGTAGAGTTAGCTCAAATGATATGGGTAGAAAATATTTAAAATTTAACAAAGAACATGTTGAGTTAGTTGGCACTGCTCGTATTTGTTTTGGCCGTTGCAACAATAACTGCAGCGTAAAATAAAGGAAAGGTAAACAAATGCACTTTATCTGCTGGCCAACAGAGTGCAGCAGCATTTATAGGAAAATGGGTTATGAAAAACAATTTGAAAAGGTATTAAATTTATGTCAGTCGCCGCCCACGGGCAGTTATAAAATTTTATATGCACATACGCGGCGAGCTGGTCGCTGTCAGCGGAATTTCTCATATTGATTTTGCTTTAAATAATAAAAACTCCTTTTTCCCTCTTTTCCAGTGTGCAGCGTTTAATGGCCGATGGATAAAGTGAGGTAAGTGAAACAAAAAGCCAAAAGGGGAGCGTTTTTGTTGCATTGCTTATTAAAAATAGCTGGCTGGGGAAAAAAAGAGCTCGAAGTGCTTGGACAGAGACACCGACGCAGTCTCGAGGCTTGTTTTAGTATTTTTCAAGAATTGGGACAACAAGGCGCATAAATAACCGACATGCCAACAAAAAAGAAACGAAGCAAAAGCCTGTAAAAAACTAAGCGAAACTCGCCAAGATACTGCACTTAGAATAGTAAACAAGCGGTGGTGACTAGGGTTGCTACACAGAAAGATATAGATGGGTTTTCTTTATATTTACCTAAAGTAATACTTAAAATGTAAGACAAATTTAAAAGCAAAATAGGGATAATAGCAGGTTAAATTCTTCGCATGGATATTTTTTTTCTATCTAAAAGATTTTATATTCTCAGAATTTACAAACCATGAATTAAGATGGCTAAATAGTTGTCTTATTTCTTTATTTTCATTGAATTTTTTATTGAAGTTTATAGTAACTCTTGAGCTAAAATAATTTTGCCAGTGATAGATTTATTTAAAGAATTTACTAATTTAATTTTCCACTGATTTGTTTTGGTTTTCTTTCTGTGTGGGTGCAAGGAACGAGTGTGTGCAAAGGAATTGCAACTAAATACGAGAGCTAAGATGAAACGCAATGCATCCCGCCCCCCGCGGCATTTCCCCAGTAAGCCGACAGTGGGAGCAAAAAGAAAGCGCACATACCGGTTTTCCGCGGCCCAGAGACACTACCAATGCACGGGGACAGGTTTATTTTCCCGTTGGGACTGTGTGACAAATCAAGCGAGAAGCGAGAGCGAAGACAACAACCGCGACCAGAGAAAAAAGTCGTAGCCTTCGTGCGCGAAAAACGTCAATGGCCAGGAAAATTCTGAGCAGGAGGGGGAGGGGCAGGGGGAAAGGTGGAAAACCGTGTGCAAGAGGGACGGCGCACAGCTGCGACGCTCTGCGTAATGTCAGCAGGAAATTGAAAAAAGTTGCCTCGCGCTTACCTTTGGACTGCTTCTGTTGCATTTCCTTGCCCGTTCTCGGCGCCTTTCTTTTCTGAGTGGTATTAGTGGAAAGTCGGGTATATTAGGTCGACTTTCAAAACATGAAAGTTATAAACCAAGCTTGGATTTTATTATTATTTTTGAATTTCTAAACCATATTAAATTAGACTTAGGTAGATGACAAGATGTAAATGCAAATCAAAACTTGCAACGCCATGTTGATGATATGTATTGATTGATGGTATTAATGGGTATCCCCTAGTCGTTATTTGCTTGCCAGTTTGCAGTTTTTCCTGCACTTGACAGTCGTTCCCACCTCAACCGCCTAGAAAAGAGTGTCAAAAGTCAAACACTTTTGCTTGTCTCAGCCCCGATCTTTTGAGTTGTGGGATTCACAAGGAGGCACAGTTTTTTTGGTGATTTACGATACTTTATTTCGCTTGGCTTGAACTAGTTGAAATTCCCTGGGATGGAAATGAAGCAATACATCAAAGGAATAAGCGTATACTAAGTGTAATAGTACGTCTATGTCAACTATGTATGGTAAATTGATTGAACATTATTGTTAAGCGAGTAGAATATTATTTAAAAATTATTTGGTTTTTAAGTTCAGTTTTAGTACAATAGTTCGTCTTTAGTTAGGTATGTGTGTTATTGTGATGTCTGACAAAAAATGGTTATTTGTATCACATTGGTTTCTTTGCTTCTTCTCTATCTTCTGAGTAGATTATCACGTTCTTAAAATGACTTAGTATAGTTCTGAATTTAGTCTTCCGGTTGGATTTGCTATCACTTTGGGTTTGGCTTAGAGCTTTCCGATTTCCTGTAGATACTGTCGCTTGCGCTTCTCCTGCTTCTCGAGCTGCCCCTGCATGAGGCATCGCAACATGTCGCGGTACTCCCGTTCCCGGTCCAAGGCACTCATCTGCTGGGAACTCGACTCCGCATCGAACTCCAGGTCGAAGGCCGACTCCCACTGGCGGCGCTGCTGGAGCTGGATGAGCTCATTTGTCAAATGCAACTTGGTGCTGGCGATGCGCACCTGTCGGGGCTTCGGGCGGCCCAACTCCCGCAGATAGAGATACAGGGCATAGCTGACGGAGTTCTCCGTCCTCTGGGAGTTGCCACTGCAGTTGCTGGAGGAGTCTGACATTTTGCGGAATGTATCGGCTCGTGTCCTGTTCCTTGGTTGCTATGCAAATCGAAGCGTTCTCCTCGCTGATTTGAGGCCAAATGATGCAATCAGTGCGTGTGCGGGCGACTTTTAAGCCAGCCAGGTAGATCGATCAGGGACTCCCGGGCTTCCCAAGCCCAAGCTGGCAGGTATGCAAAAATCCTGAATTTATTGCTGCATTTGTAACTCAAGAGCTCAATTAGCTGGGCGGACGGGAGAAAGGAGACCATTATCTGCTCCTGCCTTTTACCTGAAGCTAATCTCGTGCCGCGATTCGAACTGATTTTCCAGCTCAGTTGCTGGCAGCGGTGTCATTGCTACAAGGCTGAGCGGAGAGCTCCAGCAAATGCGCTTTGCATGTTGCCGCTAATTGGGAACAGTTGTCGATGCTACTGTTTTTTTTTTCTGCCTCACTCGATTCGCTCTAGCTTCACTGCACTTTGCAAAAATATTTACCCTAAGACAAACTAAATTAAGGAGCACGAAAGTGGCTCGAATGTGAACTAAACTCATTCAAATTTGTAAAGTTATAATTGTTTATCGCTGCTTTGAGCTTAAGTAAATTTAATTTTGGGAAACAAGGATGTAACTATATCAAAATATATTTAAATAAAATGTTGTGGCCTAGTAACAAACAATAATTCATAATGCCAAGGGTCAACTTGTCTGAGTTTCTTTCGTGGTTGTTTAATTAAACTTCCATTGTGTTTAATTTCCCTTTTTATTGTAAAAATGCCATGCCTAAAATAATAAAACAGATAATAAAACAAAATTATATAAGTACGGCAATAGTAAACGACTTCGGAGAATAAAAAATAATCTCGGCAAAGAGATTGGGACGTTTTCAAGGTCCGATATTTTAATCCGAAAACCTCATTAACTATTCACAATTAGTTCTCCGTTTACTGGAGCACATTCTGGTTTTTAGCCATTTTGTGTTAGTGTAGATTTTCAGTTCTTTTTTCCGCACCGACGTGACCTGCATGATTAATGAGCGCCGTTATGCTCATACGGACGCCATCGAAGCCCTGCGAGCGGTACGCGTTTAGTGTCCATGTCCATATCCATGTGTGTAATTTAAGCGCATGCGTCGCTGCCTCAGAGGTGTTGCATAAGTCGGCGCCATAAAGTGAACCGGCAGAAAACAATAAAACACCAGCAAATTAGAAATTACCTTTATGTGCAATATGAGGCAACGTAGAAGACAGAAAAAAAAAACACAGAAAAATGGTAACAAATTTACACACAATGGGCAGTTAGTCGTTGGAAGGGGCATTGCCTTGTGGCAAATGTGCGTGGCATTAAATCAGCGATTTCTTTTGGCCAACTCTGCATCTGCGGCCTCATTAAGCCGGGTTAAATCGGAACTGTAGTTTCCAAGCCCGGGTTAAATCGGAACTGTAGTTCCAAGGCAGTGCGGAAACTCAAGAGCAAGAGATTGTAATTTGCAGATACAAACGTATCTGCCAGTGCGTTTCCAAGTTGTTTCCCTTTATCTGAGGAATAGCTGCTCCTAATTAACCCACATGGCCGGGAGTGTGAACTGAAAATTGTTCTCCATCCAGCTCGTCGTCCAGTTCTCCGGCTGTGAAACTTTGCAGCAGTCCAGCTGCATTACAATGTTATCCAAATGACAATACTCAAAATATATATCGCCCTAAAAAAGTTTTCCGGGTGGCGACAAATTTGCAACTGGCCAAACTCCATGTAGCAACAAAAAATATATATATTTGCGCTTACACAGAGAAATAACTACGACAAAGCAAACAAAAAGCAGAAAAAGAATGTTTTCCACATCAAAATGCACATAAATAATAAATGGAACCAGCCAAACGACCAGAACAGGAACCTCGGACGAACAAGGCTCGCAACCTGAAACAAAAGCGAATCGAGATCCCAGAATCGAGCCAGCTGAAAACTGCAGTTGAAACCGAGAACTGAGCACCGAGAACCGAAAAGCGAGAACTGAAAACTGAAAGCGGCGAACTGCCAACTAAGAGGACGGAAAATGTTGGTCAGCAGTAGCCATTGTTTTTTGGGACAACTGTTAATAATGAACGCGCTGGCGAAAATTATGAAATTAATTTTCCAATTTTAATTATGCAACAGTTGCCAGCTTCTCCTTTGCAGCTCCTCAAAATGCAAATTGACTGGCACATGCAGAAAGTTGTGAGCCCCAGTGGAGTCCCTTTTGTGTCCCTGGGCTTCCAGGCCATTCAGTTTTGGCCAGCACAGATACACACACAGAAACACATACATTCACATACGTCATCACATCCGTGAGATTTCTGTCGGGCGGGCTGCTCAGCTTTGATTAGAGTTAAGCCCTAAATTAGTTGTTGCCTTTGGCCGCGTTGACGGCTCGACCTTTGGGCCGCGTTAACGTTTCCTCTGTCAGTTGCTTGGGTGGCGAGAATGGGTTTCTCGATGAGGTCATTGAGATGGTAACGGATGTGGAAATGAAGAGGGGAGCTTAGATTTTATACTGATATATGTACTTAGCACTTACCTTAAGTACCAATATAGTTAATTATTTTAGTAAAGCTTTTTATTTTCTGTCTACTCTTTAAGTATAAAAGTATACAAAGATTAGGTTTACAGATATCAATTTTATATTACTAACGAACAAAAAAGTTAAGTAAGGTTAAGTTCTGTAAATTAACCAATTTAGACAAAGAACTCTAGAGATAATCCCAGCATTAAACCAAAGTTCTGAAGGTATCCATCTGTCGGATGTGGTTAATCCAGCCAAAGTGGACCTGGATCACGGATTGGGATGTCGTTTGGGCCGCAAACACACACAGTCCGCCGTAAACAATTCGAGTGTTAATCGCTTCGATTCCGGCACAGCTGTCCGCCGGACAAGGCCGAGAACAGCAACAACAACAGCAACAATGGCCGGAAGAGCTAGAGCGGCACTTCCGAAACTAAGTTGATGCCAACTTATTAGCGAACACCGTTTAATGGGTCCAATTAATGTCAACCAAGTTGGCGGCGGCGCCAGTGATTTCGGGGCGATTTTCTGTGGGCGCCTTTGGGCCAAGAGTGAAATTAAGGCGAAACGAAAGTTTCGCCGGCCATTGATTGGCTCGCTTCGCTGCACGCGAACAAAAAGCCAAGTCCGCATCGAAAACTTTTTCGGATTGAACATTTGTAGAAATGCATAAAAATTAATTAACAAGCAGATGCCGTCGTACCGCGCACTTTTTGGCTGAAATTATTGTTAGCCATTGGCGGAGTGAGCGCAGCTGAAGCTGCTGGAAAAATTAAAGCAAAAAGCATAAGAATTTTTAATTGGCTTTTCTGCTTCATCTTCTCGCAGGCCATTGTTGCTATTATTCTTGTTGTATTTGTTATGTTTCCTACTCAATGCCGTCGTCATCGTCGACTTCTCGCACATTTAAGCCTAATTAACTTTCTACTTAGAGCTCAGTTTTCATCTTCTCGCAGCCGTGGAGAGTGGATTTACACTTGAGAAAAATGAATTGAATAGAATTGAAAATAGTTTTAGTCAAATCAAAATTTCGTTTGTTGATTCGAAACAGTTTCTTTTTTAAACGAATTGTATTTAAATAAAAGTAAAACTATTCATTAATTTTTTATGAATGTAGGCTTATGCAAAATTCATTATTCAAAGATTTCGTAGTGTAGGCCTTTGCTTCTGAATTCACTTCATTCCTTGGCTTGGGCTCCCCGTGCATTTTGCATTGTTGGCTTTTTGTTTTAGCCCCTTCCGTCCCATTGTACCTTATTGTGTTGGCCGTCTTTTGGTGCTTTTGCTGCTTTTTCTACTCTTGCACTGCGTCAACTTCTAATTTCATTTGAAGCCTCCGCTGTTGGCTTTGATGATGCCAGGGCCAAGCGCAGAACTTCGTTGCTGCTGCTGTTGCTGCTGCTGTTGCTGCTGCTGTTGCTGCTGCTGATGCTCGAACGTGGCTAACAAGGTGAAAAGTAGGTGAATGTTAAGCAGCGGCACCAACAATGTTGGGAAAAACAAAAGAAAAATGGCAACAACACCAACAATGACAGAGAGTAAACAACATTTAGCGAAAGAGTGGAGAGAAACAAAAACACGACACACCAACAAAGGCAGAAGACAAAACGTGCCAAAAAGGGTTAGAGCCAAAAACAAAAGACAAACAGACAAACATATTAACGTAAAATGTTGTTGGCCCGCCGATGTTGCCACTGTAGATATTGTTGTTGTTGTTGTTGCTGTTGCTGATGGCACCGATAAGATACTACCGCCTTTGCTCCGACTTCGACTGCGACTCCGGCAGAAGCAACTCAAGTCGCTCTACGGCAGTCTGAGATCTCAAATATAGTATCTCCGGAATATTCATCCTCCTCCCCCACCGGAAGTGCACATTAAGTGTTTTTAATTTCCAGTTTCGCACAAACTTGAGAGCTGTTTGCGAAAGAAAAGCGAAAGGCGCGGGCGTGAATGGAAAGTGCTGCTGTCTTGGCCTCGCACAAATCATTTTGGCCCGTTCTCATGGCTGTTAAAGGGCACACTTGTAAATCGCTGACAGAAGTTCCCTGAAAATATAAGGAAAACAAAGTTACTATAATATATTATAAACAGAAAATTTTTATTTACATAATAAAATATGAAACAAAATTGGAAAGGTAACTTTTAAATGTATAATTTGTTCCCAAACAATCACTTAAATTTCCTTGCTAGTTCTTTGTTTTTTCACCAGTGTAAGCTGTTTTCGAAAGCGTGTCTTCAGATTTTTATCAATAATTTACACAACAGCCAAGGTCTGGGCATGGGTGTTGTCAGCCGTAATGGAAAGCTCTCTGACCTTGAAAAATGATGCTAAGGAAGATAATCCCGGGCTGAAATCGCGTGCAGCTATGATGGATTTAACTCCGAGATACATACAAAGTCGCGCACAGTTTTCCTCTTTCCAAAAAGTACAATAGACGGCAAAAGATTGCAACCAAATGAAGAAAACAAGTGCAGCAACTACCATTTTTAAAGCGAGCATGTGTGAGAGTTCACGGGGTGTGTGTTAACCATTTTTTTCAGCGCATTGTGTTTCAGTCTGCCAGCGCTGAGCTTACATTTTATTTCTTTTATCTTTTTGGCAGCGGGGTTAAGCAAAAAGCTTTACAGACATTTTTGTGTGAACAATTTGATTAAACCTTCGCCGTTGCAGAACTCAATTCGTTTTTACATAATGATCGGATTTAACGAAAAATTTAATTACTATTTTTGCTGTGCCGCTGACTTTGACATTAATCATCTTTGTAGTGTGTTGACTGGCCGTGAAGTGTTAGCCAGCTGATGAGCCACTAACGGGCATGGACAAACAGATTTAAAAACAATTTACTAAGCAAATGCACAGCTAACTGCATTTGCCGAACGCGACTTGAATTATTCATGATGAGCCTGCAGGCTCGATTGTGTGATCCAAGTACACTGGGAAATAAAAGGGACTTACATTTAGGTTTCATAAGTTCTGAGGTTCTTAGATCATTTTCCATTCTAAATAATTTCTATTAATGCAGTTGAAAGTACTAAGTTTATAGTTTACACTTTAAACAGAAGTTAAATACCAAAGCTAATTACTGATTTATACCACACAAAAACGCTTCGTAAGTTTGATTTAAAATTTATTACATCAATCAAGGAGTCCAAATTACCGAATAGAACTTAACCAGCACCGTTTAAAGTAATTTTTATGTTTCTTCCTGTGTCGAGTTAAGTGC